TACCACTTCTCTTGGAAGTTGGTTCCAGATCCTAGCCGCCCTGACCATGAAGTAGTGCCTCCTGATATTTAGCCTAAACCTACCCTCTGCCAGCTTGTGACCGTTATTCCTGGTCACTCCTGGCAGTGCTCGGGGGAACAGTGACTCCCCCAATGCCTGCTGGTGCCCCCTGATCAGCCCTTAGTTATGTTATGGCCCTTAGTTTTTCATATCTTTCTCTCCAGCTACTATACATATTGAGAAATGATTCAACTTACTTTTGACCAGAAATTTTTGTTCCATTAATATATTAATATTTCACATGCCCATCGTTGTTTTACAATGGAAAAACCATATAGGGTAAGAAACATCTCTTCTCATATTCCCCTAGTAAACCTAAGCCCTGCTTTTCCTCCTGACTCTAATATCCATTGGGCATGTCTACACCAGACATTTTACTGCGCATTAGCCTAATAACACTGTGCAGTTAAAAACTGCTAATAGACTACTGTGCCGTGTTATTAGGCTAATGCACAGTAAGCATCACAAAATAACCATGTGCCGGCACTAATGCACACTAACTCTAGTTACTGAGCATTTAGTTGGTACTTTCTTAAGCAAGTACTAAACTAAATGTGGTGTATCTAAGGACATTAATGAACATGCAGATGCACCCAGTGATACCAGGTTCAGAGTTGTTGTGAGAATTCTACCTTTTAGGACCTATGTGGAGATGAAGAAAATAGGCCAATGCATGCTTGGGCTTATCCGAAAATAAACAAAAAATGTAAATCAGGTGGCTGTGCTGAGCTCATAACTGCTCATTTTTGCCCTTTCCCTTTGTACATTGTTCATTCCTATATTGTTTGATTAGTTAACCGATCCAGAGGTGATTCATCAGTGTATAGAAGAATGCAAAGCAAGAGTAGAAATAGGACTACACTATAACATCCCCTATCCACGACCTGTGAGTATGAACCCATTCTCAAAGACTCTATAAGTATGTACTAATCCCTTTACTGAGTAAGGTACTTAAGTGCTTGTCTAACTTAAAGCACGCAGTTTTGTTTCTGTGGCATTAGTGGCATTATTTTGGTGTTGTCAACTCCAACCCTCCAAAAATCAGGGGGCCTCTCAACATTGGCTCCAGTTAGCACCCTTCCCCCCCAGATTATGTGCCAAATTACCTGCCAGGGGCAGGGCGGGGTGGGCTGCACCCGATGATCTGCAAGGTCTCTTCTGGTCCCTAACAATCTATGAATCTCATTTAAAAATAATGAGATTTTTATAATGTAAGTCTTTGCATTCCAGTTTTTAGGGACCTCAGCCAGGTTTTCAAACCTTCCTTCACGATCATAAGGGCTTGAAACTTGGTTTAAAAATATATCACAGCTGAGGTTCCTAACAAATCACGGCCCCAGAAGTGGGGGCTTTAAAAACACCATCTATTATGGAATTTACAACAAAATCATGAGAGTTCCTAGTACTACTGCTACATTATTAGACTCAATGAAGCACAGGAAAAGTTGGTAGAGAGAGCAAATCCAGGTGAGAGATTAGAAATCATTCATAATATTTGGCCTCTCACCTGCACAGTGAGTGCATAAATATCATTGTCTTCCTCGCCTACACTGTGAATAAAAGTACTCTCAGCTCTTGTTCTTCTCGGTAGGCACATAATCTTTGTTCCTTTTCCTCCCTCCTCACTTAAAGAAATGAAAATGGCTTTTTTAAACATTATTGAACTTGCAGGGAGTTATAGCGTCCAATGCTATTTTCCTTTTGTCCATGCTTTCTTTCCATTGTGCTGTCATCCTTTCAGCTTTCCTCTTTATCCCATTCATATGTTTACATTTTCATTTGTATCATGCTCTTCCTATCAAAGTGATCAGAATCTAGTTCTCTTTTCCTCTTCGCTTATAAGATACTGTTGTGGGTTACTATAGTTCTTGGCATGTTTTTCTTATACATTTCGAACTGTGTTCCTTCAGTATACAGAATAAATAGTTTCATTTTTTACAGTAAATGTGCTGCTTTTAGCTACCCTTTTAACTGAGTATACAGCAGGTCTTTTAAGTTTATACTCATCAGGGTTTCAAATAACTTGTAGAATCAACCAGAGAAGACCAGAAAAGTCAGAAAATCTTTAAACATTTTCTAGATTTGTAGAATCTTGCTATTTTACTAAGTGTTTTTACTAATATTTGTACCTAACCCACTACCTTGAATCGGCTCCAGAGACCGTAACATCACATCATTACCCCTACAATTTCTAATCACTAAGGGATCAATAACAATCTTATATATACAAGGACTTCTATCAATCAAAAAACTACAGCTTTCTATTTCAAGGGTCAGTAATAAAAATTGTGCAGTTTAATGTGTTATCAGGACAAATCCGAACTATGACAAACTGGCAATAAGAAAACCAGTTTTCTGTACAGTTCTGCCTGGAATTATTTTGAGACTTGGTACTTGGGTACCAACAAAACATAGCCATTTTATATTTTTGTTGTGTTGCGATTCTGTACTTTTTGTGCCTGTTCTGATAAACTGTAAACCTGGGCCTTCTAAAAACATTTACTAGACTATTATATGCCATACGGTTTTAGCAAATGAAGCATCTTTACAATTTATAACATCAAAATAAAACACAAGGCTGTAAAAGTCTAATTTAGAGAATTGTAATGGATTCTGCTTGCATTTTATGCAATAATCAAAACACATAGGGCTTCAAAGTTAAACACAGTTGTAATCACAACTGGAAATGGGCTTTTCTCAATCAAAATAAATGACCTAATTGAGAGAGTATGTGTGCTCTCTCAACAGTCTATAAAACTGTTTTCAAGTTTGAGTGAAATATTCTTGTACCACAACATCTCCTGTTTCCTGACTGTTTTCAGTTTACCGGTTTGCACAACTACTGTTAATTTTGTTTTGTTTTGCGTAGATTCATCTTCCTCCTATGGGTCTTGCCCAGAAACATGGTCGTGCATTTCAAAAGCAAGAGAAGCTGAGGAAGCTTTCCAAGCCAGTCTACCTGAAATCCTATGATGAAATTTCATAAGCTACCATCCTGCTGTGAGGTGTGCAATTGTGGACATTGACCCCAAGACATCTCTTGTGCACAACTGTGAATTAAACTATTATGTGCTTGAAATTTGCTTCCATTTCTCCTGAGGCCGGAAGCCTAGCTGATTCAGAACACATGATGAATAAGGATGTATGTAAACTGCCTTGCGTTTATAACATTCAACCACTGACTCGTCAATAAAAGTAACAGCTTTTAAGGAATGCGTTGCAATATGAAGATTACTTTGTGAAGTCAGGATAAAGCATGGAGATTTTTTAATTGCATATGAATTTACAATGGGGTTCTGTCCAGGTCAACATGAGTTTTATAAATACGGTTGTTACTGAAGATGCTTGCTGCCCCCAATGCAGCCTGAGTAGAAACTCACAGAGAATCAGATAAGCCTTGGGAAACCCTTTTTTTTTTTTTTCCTCATTGCATAGGAAGAGCACGACCATCTGTTACTTTAGAGGCTGTAGCAGGTGCTCTTTCATACCCCTGGCCTGATTTGGTGGGTTGGGTGGAGGGAGAAGGAGAGGCTAAAGCCCTGCTTCCCTCTCTCCTGCTATAGTGCCTCAGTTTAGGCCTCTCACACCTTATGTTCAAGAAGCACTCGAAAGTTTGTAGGGGTGATAAAAGTAACTCTTGCTTTCTTCTTATTTTTCAATTTGCAAGTTGGCCCCTTGTTTCTGTTTTGGCCTTTTTTTTTTTGTCTTTTCATTCTAGACAGTAGGGTAGATGTATAAAGGCTGAAGTTTACAGGAGCTTGTACATTCTAGTGCCTTTGCTTCCTGCCAGGAGTCCAGCTGAGTGTGGGGCTGCTTTCCTGGCACTCCTCCTCCGCTCACAACTCTGGGTAGAGTTTCACTGATTGGCATCCACAGACTCCCTTGACTCCTTCAGGGGGCAGGGGCCACTGGCTGGTGCGTTCTGTTCGGTGTCCACTTCCAATACCCTTGTTTATTAACCTATGACCTCACTCCCGTTCCCGTTTTCTTTTTTGTTGTCCCACACATTTAGTTGATGTGGCCTCCCTTCTTAAGGGAGGCTTATAGTTTTCCATTATGGGCCCAGTCCCATGAGTTTTTTAGCACATCAAATAGGCGCAATGAAAAGGAACTGTTTCTTATGGAGGGATGGGAAAAACAATTTTTCCCTCCTCCCTATAAATCCAGGGCAGAATTTAAAAGGTGGTTTTGGTGCCTTCACCCTGCATTTCCATAATTTGAAACACTTGAGTCTTTTAACAGTGTAATCTTTAGTAATCTTAAATTTATAATGCTTGCTTTTCCAGGGGGGCAGTGCGCACTGCATGCATGCTGGGAGGACTTGGGGGTTGTATGCCTCTGATCTGTGCAGGACGAGGGTGGGCTGCTGCTGCAGGCTGGGGCTAAGAGTGGTGCCAGGCTCTTCCTGGTGGGGGCTGGGCTAGGCCGCACTCATGGTAGATGGCAGTGGCACTAGGAGGGGCGGTGGGGGGAATACAGCCACCCCAAAATTTGATGTAGCCCCAAACCCCCCTCCCAGTGCCACCACTACATGTCCTAAGCACAACCTAGCCCAGCTTCCCTCTAGGAAGAAACCTGCCCCAGCCTGCAGCAGCAGCAGCCTGGCCTCACCCCTTGTGTAGGTCTGGGGGCACACAACTCCCATGTCCTCCTGGGGTGTGCATAGTGGTGGGAGCTGCGCCCCCTGGAAAAGCTGCAGCTCCCTCCTGCGCCCAGCCCCAGCCCCACTCCCTCACCACTGGGGCCTCGATCTGCCCTCCCTC